TCTAGTTTAAGTGTGTGAAAATGAAGAGGTACAATATAGTTTGTGAGAATGAGGGCTCCCGTACGCTGTCATATCTGACCGTTCTCTAATCTTCTCCGACTATCTCTTGGGTCGACGTCCTAGAGGTCAGCGCCTAATTTTATCCCGCTACGGTCTGTCATTCCAGTCAGGTGTCTCTCTTGTAACACTACTACCAAACCACCTTGCTGCGTCGCTATCTCCCTGGTCGAGGTGAGGTGGGACATTGTGTCTATATGCATATGTAGACATAATAGACCTTATCAGGTTTCTCCCAGAGTCGGCTCGCTGGCTCATCTCCCAGGGCAGGAAGGAGGAGGCGCTGAAGGAGCTGCAGAGGGCGGCCCGGCTGAACGGGACCAAGATACCAGAACACCTGCTGGACAAGGTGAGCTGCATCAACAACAAACCTAGAGGATTGGGGCCACATGAAAACAGTTTTTGGAGATCTGAAAAAGTCAGAATTCTGAGGGGACTAAAAACAAATTCTGAAAAAATTTGGAACTCTGAAAAAAGTCCACATTTTAAGAAATCAAAATTCTGAAAAAAAAGTAAAAAATCGGAGGAAAAGTCAATTTTTTTACGGAAAGTCAGTAATCTGAGAATAAGTCAGAATCACATTCTATCAGATCTCAAAATAAATTCACCATATATTCAACACTATAAACCTACGGAAGAGGATTGGGGCCACGTGAGAATAGTTTCTGGAGATCTGAAAAAAAAAAGGTAAAAAAAGACATAAAAGTGAAAATTCTGAAAAAATCTGGTACTCTGAAAAAAGTCCACATTTTTAGAAATAGGAAATTCTGAATCAAAAATCTGAAGAAAAGTCAGAATTATGAGAAAAGTTGGAATACTGTTAGAAAAAATTACGACGATCTCTTTCAATTCTGACGTTTTTTCTCAGAAATCCAAAAGATATTCACTTTTTGTCAGATCTCAAAACATTACATTACATTGCATTTAGCTGACACGTTTATCCAAAGCGACTAACAATAAGTGCATTCGACCAAGAAGATACAAACTTGAAGAAAACAGAATCATACAGTAAGTACATCATGTTTCATAGAGCCAAAACATTTCAAGTGCTACTCAACTGGCTTTAGATAAGCCAGTCCTTTATTAGTATATAAGTGCTTTGTTAGTAATTCTATCTCTCGAAGTGGAGTCGAAAGAGATGAGTTTTTAGTCTGTGCCGGAAGATGTGTAAGCTTTCTGCTGTCCGGAGCCAGTAATTCACGTGGCCCTGATCCTCTTCCGTTTGAACCTCTTTGTGATACAAACTAATTGTCTTTCTTTTCACTTCCTAAGCTTGAGATCGAGGAAACATCTGGAGGAAGAAACGTATTCGACATCTTCCGGATATCGTATTTGAGAAAACGTACTCTCATAATGGGCTACAACTGGTGGGTTTTTCTTTAATTGAGATAATTGATCTGACAGTGAATCAGTATGACTATTATTTATCAATGATATCTAATCGCCACGCTGTTAATTTTCCACATTTGTCACATTAACCCTGTTTAAGTGATTGGGAACTTGAACAAAATGTCTTTCTTATTCTCCAACTGCACCAGGTTCGCATCAATTCTTTTATACTACGGACTGCTCCTGAATGTTGGCAGTTTTGGTCTGAATATCTACCTCACGCAGTCCATCTTTGGCGTCGTTCAATTTCCTGCACAGGCTACTTCTTACACTCTGATTCAACGCATTGGAAGGAGGACAGGACTAGTGGGCTTCCTGTTCTTTGGGGGAGCTGCTTGCCTCATTGTCCTCGCCATCCCAAAAGGTATATATTACATGAAAACATTTGANCTACTGATGCTGGACAGTTTTTCAGTGGGTGCACAATAAACAGCAACATACACATTCATGTAAATAAACAGCCAAATAATGGATCAACGCTCTCTGTCTAATATTAGACAGAGAGCGTTGATCCATTATTTGGCTGTTTATTTACATGAATGTGTATGTTGCTGTTTATTGTGCACCCACTGAAAAACTGTCCAGCATCAGTAGCATGGCTTACGTGGTCACTTGTATAGGTTGAGGTTGTTGTTCTAGGCTGTTGCTTGGCGTGGCGAGAATATTGCTCCACTTTCTCCGGTCCCCAAGATTCGGCTTCCAGTAGCTCTGGAGAGAGCTTTCGCACCTGTGGCCACTAACGGTCATAATTTCTCTGCATTGTTTCAAGTCCTGCATCAGAAAGCTTTTGAATGGTGGTACTTTTCCAGTT